AAAATTCGGTAAAAAACCCAAAATCGCCATATTCAGGTGCCTTAAAAACCATGGTAAAATTGAGTTAGAGATCTGAAACTTTGCAGGGCGTCTAGACGTTGACAAAATCGACTGCAAAAAAAGTTTAAAGTTTCAGGAGCATCGGAAAATGGGTTTTCTAGAACCCCTGTTTTACGACAGATTGTCGTGATATATACTTTTGTTTGTTGGGGACTGGCCCGTGGTACCAGCCAATGTTTACTCAAAAAATATATATAACATCAATGATAATAAGAAATTCATCCCCGTGGGGCACATGCATAAATATAAAATGTAAATGCAAGGAAGGTTTATAACTTAAAGTTTTATTTTCCAATGGTTAGTAGGTAAAGATTAAAAAAGTAAAACAAGACTGAGCACTTCAAAATTTGTAGAATTTGTAACTTGATTTGAAATACGCGGCGATAATATAAAATGTCCAATGTTGGCAGTGTAATTTATGAGATATGCGACGTATATTGAGTGATGCATAAGTGTGTGCATATAATCTAAGATGTAGAGACAAGGTTATTATCGGCATTTCGGTTTATGTTACGCTTTGATTTTCTTAGTCCTGTTATACAAAATAACATGAAATTAGGCCATTCGTCTTCGATGTTTTCATTTTGCTGATCGATGAGCATAGTTTTTATACAAGTTTTGTAAATGTTCAGGTTAAATAGACTAGGCGGGGAAGTTGCTGCAACATTATATCGGTTTATTGCTAATAATGGACCTTTAAAAAATACTGAGTTGTTGTATGGGTGTTGACCATACTTTTCTGACCATTGTGTAGTGAGAATAGAATCCAGGTTAGTATTAAATAATGGTGCGCTTTTGGGAATTGTTTTCTTGAGAGACAATGGTACTAGATTAGGAAAGTTTTTCAATTTATGCATTAAAATGAGTGCGTTCTTTACAATGATACTGTGTACTGTCAATATTTTATGTGAATAAAAGCCAGACTTGGTACTTGCTGGGGGGATACCGTCCTTGTACCAGTAATTGACGAAACCAGGTAATACTGCTCGAAGGCCCATTTTCTGTTTTACAAAAAGTGATTCAATATGAGACTTGGCAGCAAAACCCCAGATATACAGATATACATATATTTGACCAAAACCCATAATCATGGGTAGAGTGAACCGCTGCCAGTGTCTCTCTTTTCCAAACAAAAGGAAATGATAGGAACCGTCCGCAAATGCAAATTGATACCGAGAATGAAATCGGTCGCTCGCTTTTCCCATTCATTAAGCTTTATTACAATTCGTAAGCCGAAACATATTTATTTACTCCTACAGCTCATCTTATACAGGGTGAGTTGAAAATAGTGTGTAGAATCAGTGGCGTAACGTTGCCTGTTAGTGTTGGCGCCCCCTGCCGAAAAAAGCGCCCCCCCTGTTGGCGCCCCCTCCCCTTTTGGTGCCCCTCCCAAAAATTGAACAAATTAGGTGATTTTAAAGAATACGCCGGTAAAATCTCTAAAAAAGTGTGTATCTAGAGCAAAACGCGCAGTTTTGCTAGTACTTTAGTTAAGTTTTCGAAATTGTCCCACATTCAAACGACGATTTGGCGCCCCCCTAAGACGGCGCCCCCCTGCACAGCGGGGTCAGCAGGGCCTTTCGTTACGCCACTGTGTAGAATGTAAAAATCGATAGTTTTTTATGAAGGAGCAAATTTTGTATACCTCATATTCACGCAACCGCTGCAAAACAGAAAGACCACTGCTCGAGAAGGTGAAGGTTATCAGGTTTCAGTGTGGCTAGGTCCAAATGGAATGGAAATCAGAGCACAACGAGGTTTCATCCCGTTCTGCTCCATTTTTGCGGCAAGAAGAGAGATTGATCCGGTTAGGTATAATCATAGCTTTCCCACAAAATCAATCACGGGGTATAGCAAGCGCTAAAAAGAAAGATATAGTTCAACAACTTTGTACTTGTAGACTTATGAGTTATGAGCCCCCGATTTGTTCGTCAAGTTTTAAATATAAATAGATATATTCTCGATAGTATTGCCTGAATAAATAGTATCTGGAGAGAAGATTTGTAGGATACAATACTTGAGTAGGAACAGTGTGCCTCGTGACGTGTAAAGCTGTAGGTACTTCGCACGACAATAGCTGGATAACCCAATATTGTTCACACACGTTTCGTGTACCTTCTTAGCTTATCAATTACACTGAATGGGATATTGACTTTGAGTAGGGAATGCTAGGACATGATTAGATCTTGTGATATAAAGTAAGAATAGCTCATCGCATGTAATACTCAACAAGGTAGTATATTTTTACTACAAGCCTACAGGAAAAATGTTTCATCCTTTTATTTTGTGCTCGATACTCGGCCTGGGTCAGCTGCCTTATAAGCTTACACTCTTATAGAGCGAAACATATCTATTCATTTCTATAGCTCATCTTATATATAAGATATATATACCTCATATTCACGCTGTTTCCAATCTACCTTTTTGTTCGTATTGATTCGTGATCGAAGGGACAGTTTCAATATTCCGTATTATTACAATCTGTTCCTGACCATACATTTTTCTTGTACGATTTTAAAGCTTTTTTCGAGTATGAGTGTTGTGCCTTATACCCATTTTTATCTATATAAATTTTTTTTTTCATTCGTGAAATTGTAACGCGGTTAATTTTTAAGATTTTATTTTTATAGCTTTCTCTCGATTTTTAGAGTTCTGATCGTCTTTATGAATTGTTGTATTACCAAGATGAGTTCGTTAGTGTTCTCCTTGGTCATTTCATGTTTAATTCCTGTTTAATAGTTTAATTCCCCGCAGAACAATGATCTGGACAAACAATATGAGTACCACAAACTCGCCTCCCAGTACCTCTATAGTTTATGACGGTCATGACTTTGGCTTTCAGTATATATCCCCACTCAATATCATGATAGCTGTTTATATCATGTTCCAGAACGCCATGATCATATATGATTACCACAAGGACTGGAGAAGGATTTCGTACCTGTTCTTCATTATGGTTGCTGCTGTGGATATTGGAAGTGCGTGTTCAGAGATAGGACGAGGCTCAATATCACTGCTGTGCTTGAAGGACCCGTCTTTGAGGATGCATCCTTGGACTTTTCTGGTCTGCCAACTGTTTGGTACACTGTGCTACGTTACTTCCATATATTTCGTTCTTGCGCTAACGGTTGTGAAGACCATCAACATAATGCGTCCATTTTACAGTCTGAATAACCGAGTTTTGAAGATAGTCCTTTTCATTTACCCGTCCATTCTCCTAGTCGTGTGCATTATTGATGTTTGGGCCTACAATGAAATCATAACTAGTTTAAATGATAACCCAAAATGTGGTGTTGTTTATGGTCCATGGAACATTATGACTGAAATAGAAACAATCGGACATGGCACAACACTCCGTGTATTAGTGTTGATGGTGCGTCACTTTGCAGTGTCTGGTAATGCAGCATCGCTTATGTACCATATCATGGAGGTAGTTGTGGCTTTAGTTCAGTTTGGTTTGCCTTGCTTGATTGTGCTTGTATGCATGGTTCTTCAGATGATCTATATAAAGAAAGCCTTTGGAGGTCACGAAAACCCACAGCTGAACACTGCAAACCAAGTTAACTTAACAGTGTTTCTTATCTCGTTACTGTACTTGATTAGCGTCTCTTTGTATTGCGTGAATACAATCGCTATCTGGTTGGGGTATGACGTCCCATACCCCCTCATTGTATTGTTACAATTCACCCTTCCCTTGATAAACGCAGCACTGTTCCCAACCATCCTGATCCTTCGTAAACCAGAACTGAGAGCACGGTACAGAAACTACATAACAAAAGTCATCCTTCTACCACTCGCCATCTATGGAAAAGTTCGTTATCTGGCTCAAATAAGACGAGGATATGCAGAGATCTGATCATTACTACCTCATACATGGTTGATCATTTATGACATAAGGAACGGTTGGACAATTTTATTTCTGGACCCTCTTTCCACATTAAGCGATTGTTTTTGTTTTGTAACTCTGAGTTAGGCGAATATTTGCAATGATTAACTGATTAAGATGCATGTTGGTTAAACTTATTGTTTTTGCTTCACGTCAAAGGCCACCCCCAAGTGCTGCGTGGGACAAAATTGATTATCATTAAGATGATTGATTTTTTTAAAATTTTTAAATTATCCAAAATGATTAATCATTGATGAACATTAAAAAGTCTGGGGCAAATTTGATTAAGCTAAGATTATGTATTTTAAAAAGCTTTTCAAAGAAGAAAGATAAAAAAATTGTTAAGATGACAATAATATTAATGATATTTGATCGATTGATATTCGAATTCATTTCTATTCTGTGAATTATTTTACGAAAAGACATATTTTATATTTGTTATATTCTTAAAATTAACTGTCTGAATTAGTATTTTTCCTTTATCGTTTAATCGTCATGACATGTTATTATTTGAAATTCGTCATTGTTTTATCACCAATTTTATCTTTATGCATGTCATACCAAATAAATACATAAGTATTAATTAAATTGCATACTTTTTATATTTAGCGTGTTTATGTACTCATCGTGATTTGTATTTCATTTTGTTTTTCTAAAAATAAATTGCCGAGTCATTGGGTGAATAACAAATAAACGGTTTTAATTTTAGAAAATTTTTAAAAGTACAATGCCAATGGTTCAAATTCGAAAGCGC